ACAAGTCCACTCGGACCACTCCTAGATTCAAATTCACCAAAAAAGTGGAAATGCTTTCAGAGATGAGGCAAACAGGTAAGACTTTGCCCCGTTTTCTCAGAAGAAAAAAAAAAATATAGGTAAGACATTTATTTTTTATAGTTTTTGTTTACGATTTGTTTGGACTAAAACATCAGTGGAATCCGATTTGCCTTTAATATTTTCGACTACGCAAAATAGCTACATCAAACTTGACTAGGGATTTGTCTATTCATTTGCCTAGTCCAACGTGTAGCAGCAAATTGAAAATTGCCTAATGACTATGCCTTATTCTTCTGTTCTTATTCTTTTGTTTATGGCCGATTGGTTAGAGTTTGATCCACTGTTATTGTCTTTATCCAAGCGATCCTGAGGGAGGTGGAATTGAACGCGCGATCTTTGGTTGCTCGTAACCACCTGAGCTGCAACCCTTTTGCACAACTTCATCAAATTTGAAGCAAAAACACATGATGAAATTCAATCACAGATAAGTCCATGCATACTGCATAACTGCATTGTTGGCATTATTTTGTGTCGGCAAGAGGAAAGGAAGGGCCATGCTATATAGGTGTAAGCTCCCGTGACAACGTGTCATGGTCAATAGGAAAGAAGAAAAAGGCCGGCAGGCCTGCAGTTCCTGCACAAGTTGTTGGTAATTTCATTTTCATTTTGTTCTTGCCTTTGCACAGCTAATTAATGCCTTTTTTTAGGAGAAATTCTTTCTTCCAACGAATACACAGTACTAGTAGTGTCATCAGTCCAATGAGTATAGACCACATGCTCAAAAATTGCACTAACAATTCAATAGATGTTTAACATGTGGCGCATCGCGTCATTGGTAATATAAGGGTATCTCATCCTATAAATAGAACTAAAATATTCGATGTGGCGTCAGTAATACAGGTATTTTAGCGGTTAAATTTAGTTTTTTATAATTGTTTTAATTTTTTTTTTTTTTCAATCTCAATTATTCATAAACTCTAAGAAAATAAATTCTCTCTGTTTGGTTTGATTTTTAGGTAATTCTCTAAGCTCTAAAACACTAAAACTAAACCCTAAACGGTTTTTTCTGTGGACTTTTGTCCATTTGTTTTGGCACTTGTGCATGAGGACAAGTCTAGTCAAATATATATTAATGAAACCTGAACAGCTCACGACCATTTAGAAGAGAATAGAAATTTACAGCTTAATTTCTCTGTATTCCACAATTCTGAATAAAAAATATATATAATCCTTGTTACAAAAGGAAACAAAATAAAGGACACAATATCCTTCCTAAAACATGACTCTAATAATTACAAAAATATTTACATTTCTTTTTTTTTCTAAATATTGACTTATTAGAATACTTCCCCTCAAGTTGGAGCATAGATATTACTCATACCCAACTTGACAAGCGAGTCATCGAACCTCCTACTACACACGACATGGGTAAGAATATCTGCAAGTTATTCCTTTGAGTTCACAAACGGTATTAACACAATCTTCATCTCCAGCTTTTCTTTGATAAAATGTCTATCAACCTCAATATGCTTAGTCATGTCATGCTGTACTGGATTCTCAGCAATTTCTCTTGCGGACTTATTATCACAATACAACTTCATTGCCTCCTTATGTTTAAAACTGATACTCCAAAGCAATTTTCGTAGCCAAAGAATCTCACACACATCATGTGCCATACCCCTATACTTGGCTTCGGCAGAAGACCGTGATACCACATTCTGCTTCTTGCTCCGCCACGTAACCAAATTACCTCCAACAAATGTAAAATACCTAGATGTAGACCTTCTATCAGTCACATCACCTGCCCAATCAGCATCAGTAAATCCCTCAATCCTCATATGTTCATGACATTCATACAAAATTCCTTTACCCAGGCCAGACTTCAAATATGCCAAGATTCTCATTACTGCTGTCATATGATCCACACTAGGTGAGTGCATAAATTGACTTACCACACTTACGGCATAGGCAATATTTGGACGAGTGTGAGACAAATAAATCAGCCTCCCCACTAGTCTTTGATATCTACCTCTGTCAACCGGTTCTTGATTTTGATAAATCCCCAAATAATGTTTCTCTACGATGGGAGTGTCCACATGTTTACATCCCAGCATGCATGTTTCTTTTAATAAATCCAGAACATATTTACGTTGAGACAAGAAAATACCTCTAGATGACCGATCGACTTCCGCGCCAAGAAAATATTTCAAATCTCCCAAATTCTTCATCTCGAACTCGGCTGCAAGGTTTTGTTCGAACGTCATCATCTCTTCAGAATCATCACCCGCTATTATCATGTCATCCACATAAATAATTAAGGCCGTCACTTTACCACTTCTCTGCTTCACAAATAATGTATGATCCGAGTGACTTTGATACTACCCAATCCTCCTCATAACTTGAGTAAATCTACCAAGCCATGCACGAGGTGATTGTTTAAGTCTGTAAAATGACTTTCGTAACCTACATGCTCCGGTTTTCCCTTCGGCATTGTACCCCGGAGGAAAATCCATATATACCTTTTCTTCCAAGTACCCATGAAGAAAAGCATTTTTCACATCAAACTGTTTCAGTGGCCAATTCAAATTTGCAGCTAAAGAAATCAGAACTCGTATTGTATTCATCTTTGCTACTGGAGAAAAGGTTTCTTGATAATTCAACACCATAAGTTTGAGTATAACCTTTTGCTACTAACCTTGCTTTATACCTGTCTACCGATCCGTCTGCCTTGTACTTGATTGTAAAAACCCATCTACACCCAACTGGTTTCTTGCCTTTAGGTAGCTCTATTACCTCCCATGTATCATTTTTGTGTAGTGCCATCATTTCTTCATCCATTGCAGCAGCCCATTTAGGATCCTTCAAGGCCTCCTCAACTCAGGTTGGTGCTTGGATTGCTTCCACATTATTTACCCAGGCTTGGCGTTCCAGTGCAAGGTTTTTACATGACACATAATTTGCTATTGGATACTTTACTTTTCCTTCAGGAGGAACACCACGATTTTGCCTTGGTGACAACTTATACATACTTACATCATTATTTGGATTAGTTACATGAGTATCTGTAGTACTTACCTCAGGGATATTCAAAGTAGGCACATTGGGTGGCACTATCGAGCTAGAGAGAGAGAGAGGGTGATGTGGGTTCTACATGTGGCACTTCTTCCCTTGAAGTACTTGGTTCGGCAGTAAGCTGCTGGACTGATATAGCTTCCTTAACAGGACCTTGCCTAAAGCCTGCATTTGTCTCGGCAGGCAACAGCTGAAAGCCCATATCATTCTCGGCAGTTTCTTACCAAGAGATTGGTGTCCCATTTTCATCCTCATCGTCAACACATGCTCCCCCTGAACTACATATCACGTCATCTAGTACCTCTAACCACCCAAGATCAACTTGATCATCACTAGTGTTCTCCCCCTAGTGATCTGAAGGTGATAGGATTGAAGAATAAAAATACTCCAATTCAGAAAAAGTAACATCCATAGTCACATACATATGTCGAGTTTCAGGATGATAACACTTATACCCTTTCTATTGGGAGACAAACCCAACAAAAACTCATTGAAGGGCACATGGATCCAATCGACTATGATGAATCTTATGAATATGAACATCTGCTACACATCCAAACACACGAGGAGTAAGGGTATTAGTGGATACTACAAGAACATGTTCCGTCAATACTTGAAAAGGTGTACGGGAATTCTACAACCCGAGATGGCATACGGTTAATCACATACACAACATAGGTAATGGCTTCAAGCCAAAATCGTTTAGGCACGGACGCAACAATAAGCAAGGCACTAGCAGTTTCCAAGATATGACAATTCTTTCTCTCAGCAACCCCATTCTGTTACGGAGCATGCGGACATGTAGTTTGATGAATAATTCCATGATCTTGTAGAAACCGGGATAACTCAGAACTTATGTACTCTCCACCATTGTCGGAAGGCAAAACTTTAATATCAGTGGAATACTGAGTTTTAACCATCTGTTGAAACAAACGAAACACATCACAAACCTCACTTTTATTTTTTAACATATACAACCACGTCATACGAGTGCAATCATCCACGAAAGTAACAAGCCACCTAATTCCCGAAGTAGTACTAACAAGAGAAGACAGACACATCAGAGTGTACTAGTGCAAATAAAGAAGATCTTCTATTCATACTTGGAGGGAATGAAGCACAATGACTTTTGGCTAAAATACATACTTCACATTTTAATTCTGAGTCTTCAATACCACTAAACAAATCAATTAATATATGTTTCAAATAAGCAAACTATGCATGCCCCAAACGACGATGCAATAACAATACCTTTTGTAGATTACTATTACGTGACGAATGAACCAAATGAGCTCTTCCAGGAATCACGTCATCCACATAATATAGCCCCTCTCTCTTAGTGTCACACCCAATGATCTCCCACTAGTGCAAAAAATACTTTGGGTGACGTAGGTCCTTCGTCACGCAAAGTCAAAAAAACGTCGCACAAAAATTTGCGTGACGAACCTTCGTCGCGCGACAGGCGTCGCGCCACACCTGTGAAAGAAGGTTTTGCGTGACGAAGAAGTTACATGAGTCACGCAAAGTGGGTTTGCGTGACGTATGTGTGCGTCACGCAAAGTGGACTTGCGTGACCAAGGTGTGCGTCACGCAAAGTGGGTTTGCGTGACGTATGTGTGCGTCACGCAAAGTGGACTTGCGTGACCAAGGTGTGCGTCACGCAAAGTGGGCTTGCGTGACGTATGTATGTGTCACGCAAAGTGGGTTGGCGTCACTCAAAGACACTTTGCGTGACACATACCTACGTCACGCAAACCCAATTTGCGTGACCTATGGAACTTCTTCGTCGCGCAAACTTTTTATGTTTTTATTTTTTTTTTAATTTTTTTGACAAAAATATTTTTGATTTATTAATATTTTTGATATAATTTTTAATAAATATTGTAATTATTCTAAACAATAAACAATAAACCAAGAAAAAATTTAATTATAAACCATATATATGAAAATGTGCATACAAGATGTCTAAACAAAAAAAGAAAAAACTACAACAAGTAGTCTTCTAGGTTTGAAAACTACTGGGTATCGGGTAGGTGAGGTGGCTGGGAGGTCGAAGGTGGAGTAAGATCAAGTGGTGGCAGCTGGATTTGGAGACCGGACACCGCTAAGGCCTGTACAATCATACTCATCTGCGCCCTCATCTGTTCGTTCTCAGCTCTCATCTGCTCAAGTAGGGTTAGGAATAATTAATATTTGCCCATCTTATAGAGCAAAATGATAACCATACCCAAATTTTCTTCTCATGTACACTCATGATTAATTTTAATCATAATTTTCGTTTAATCAATTCAGTTTTGGTGACTTAAATAAAAAGAGGTGTGTAGGAGAGAAAAATTAATGATGTGTGGTTATCATTGTGCAAATATGTTCTAGGCCTGCATTTGCTTTTACCAATTGTGCAAAGATCTATATCATGAAATAATAAAAAAATTAAAAAAAAAATAAAAAAAGGTGCACGAATACCTTTCTCGGCTAGTGTTGAAGTGTTCTTTTTCTTCTGGTTGGAAAAGTTGAATTGTTGTTAAGTCCAGAGGGATTGAAATGTCCTTCTCTCGACCTAGAACCTGAGGAAATAAAAAGTGAGATGTCAAAGTAATTCTTGTCAACCAAGAATGCCATATGTCAATGAAAAAAAACTATGCCTGCGCAAACAACAAGAATGAAATCAAAAGAATAAAGCATTACCTTAACTTCCCGGTAGTGGACGAGAACTATGTGTTGCAGAGCCCTGCAGCAATGACCAAGTAAGTCAGACGTGAAAAGAAAATTTCACAATAAATTACTTGAATCATTAGCATGTGAGACTAAATGTTAACTGCATTTGGGTTTTCTTTAATTTTATTAGACAGGTATTAAAATGAACACGCAGCCGTGGGTGCCTGCTTGTACTTGCAAACACATCCACAAACACTGCTAAGGCTTGAGAACAAAAATCTTTGATAGATTTGTAGCATATAACTCACTCTTCAAGCATCCAATAACTGCGCCTTTGGAAATTTTCATTTTCTTCTCCATGTGCATAATAGCAGTGCAGCACATCAACGTTTCCAGCCTGAAAGGATGTTCAATTATTATTCAACCACTTTGATTGAAAACAAAGGCTTTGTCAACAAATTAACTCTTGACACAAGCCACAAAAACTTGAGAAATATTTAGCATCTAATTGTTACCACCTACTTAATGAAATTCTAAAACAAATTTCTTTCCACCTCTGCTTTCTTAAGCAGCAATTTTTATTCAATGAGCTTTTTCCTTGACATTGGTGTGTCCTTGTACTTAATTTTGGAATTAAACAAGGGGGCTGACAGCCCACATTTAAGAAGCATTACGAATTCAACTCTCAGAAGGATCAATATATATCCTTTCCTTAAAATCTCCATTCAAGTGAAACCCTGCTTAATGTAAAGAAATTTTGGAAGAAGGTGTACGTCACGCAATTCAAATCAGCTATTCAAATCAAATTTAAGAAGCATTTGATTCTTTCTACTGCATTCGATACTTTCTACTGCATTTGATTCTTTCTACTGCTATTCAAATCAGCTATTCAAATCACACGTTTAACATTTGATTCTTTCTACTGCACAAAGGCACTTCACCCATAAAATTCTAAATCGAAAGATATCAGGAAACCGAAAAACCAATGTTTGAATTCATCCGTATCGAATCAGCGTAATAACAATTCCTCACCAACCCATCAACAATCGAGTGCGCGTGCAGCAAAATCACAAAGTGAAACCCTACACTGAACTGCAATTTCACCCTAATCCCTAAATAACAAAAACCCATCGCAAATCACAAACCCTTACCTTGATTTTGGGACTTGATTCCCGTTGGCTTCAACATTCGTGTGGCTACCCGTCGTTTAGAACGAGAAGGAAGAGAGAAGTCTATGGGAAAGAGAGAGGAAGACCGAGAGGAAGAGGATAAGAGGAAGAGGAAGAGGTCTGCAATTTCCAACCAAAACCGAAAGTCTGCAATTTCCAACCAAAACCGAAAGTCTGCAATTTAAGCAAAACCGAGAGGAAGAGGATAAGAGGAAGAGGAAGAGGTCTGAAAAGAGGTCTACGGAAAGAAAAACCGAGAGGGAAAGAGGATAGGATATATGGTTGGAAAATTTGGAAAAATTGAAAAAAAGCGCCTATTTTTTGTTAAGGACCGCCAAAATTATCAACTGGCGTGACGCAGTTTTACAATTTGACGTCACGCAAAGTGGTTTTGCGCTACGATTAAAGCGTCGCGCAAGGTTTTTTTTTTTTTTTTTTTTTTAAGTATTAAAAAAATTACCAAAAATGTGACTTTACTCCTTTCAAGTTCAATTTTTATTTCACATAAACACCACAATAATATATTATTCTAAAAAAAACCCATAATAATTTTTTTTACATATATATCATTCAATTTCTTAAGTGTTATAAGTAGAAATTAAATAAATTAAAATCTACTTAGTAAATTCATATACCATTGCACTTGATGGGAAACACATTGTACGAAACTAGTTTCAACAATCCAACCGTCAAACTTGTTCGTATATGCTTCGAGATCGCATACGCCAAAAATAGGAAAAAAAAAACATTTAGAGATCAAGTAACGCGACAAAACTTTTCGACGGTTATAAATGAAAAATAACGATTTAACGGTAGTTTTAACTCCGATTTTGATGATTTTTTACAGCTACACTCCTTGACCCTATATGAATACAATGAACTAATTCGATCGTCAATTTAATGTATTTACACAAGTGGATACCACAAAATCTTATGTTATACTTAATGAAAGTATTAATAAACTCTAAGTGTTAGTAAATCTACCATTTTGATGGGAAACACATTGTACGAAACTAGTTTCAACGATCCAACCGTCAAACTTGTTCGTATATGCTTCGAGATCGCATACGCCAAAAATAGGGAAAAAAAAACATTTAGAGATCAAGTAACGCGACAAAACTTTTCGACGGTTATAAATGAAAAATAACGATTTAACGGTAGTTTTAACTCCGATTTTGATGATTTTTTACAGCTACACTCCTTGACCCTATATGAATACAATGAACTAATTCGATCGTCAATTTAATGTATTTACACAAGTGGATACCACAAAATCTTATGTTATACTTAATGAAAGTATTAATAAACTCTAAGTGTTAGTAAATCTACCATTTTGATGGGAAACACATTGTACGAAACTAGTTTCAACGATCCAACCATCAAACTTGTTCGTATATGCTTTGAGATCGCATACGCCAAAAATAGGAAAAAAAAAAGGGGAAACTTGATATAGGTCCAATTTTTTGAGCCAATAGTAGGAATAATCCAATTTATTAAAATAAGTCCAATTCCTTAAAGCTTATTATTTTATTATCAATAATTATCTCTTAAATTATAAGATTTATTATAAAAATCAAATTTCTTCCTAATTATCTCTTTGATTTTTTTTTTTTTTTGTTCTTTCTTGTTCTTTATCCCTTTTTAAACCCCATTTATAGATTTTATTTTTTATTTTTATAATCAACCTATATCACAGGTTAATTATATTTATCTACCTATATGATAGATTCTTTTTTATAATCAAGTAAGATTCATGTGTCTTGCTTACCGGATACAAATAGATTAAGGAACGGAGAGAATTGGAGAACGTTTAGAACAGAGATGGGGGACGTTTAGAACAGAGATGGGGGAGGGAGGTAGTTTCTGCAACTAGTTTGCAGTTTCTACCACCCAAACTGAGAAAAAAAGTCGTCGACTTTGCGTGACGCATATGGCGTCGCGCAAAACATCTTTGCGCGACGCAAGTGCATGTACGTCGCGCAAAGATGTTTTGCGTGACGCCACATACGTCACGCAAAGATGTTTTGCGCGACGTACGTCCACTTGCGTCGCGCAAAGCTCTTTTGCGCGACGCATGTAGCCTTGCGTCACGCAAAGTCAACAGAAAAAGCGGTAAACCTTACTTGGTTTAGCGCCAAAATCTTGCGTGACGCCACATACGTCACGCAAAGATGTTTTGCGCGACGTACGTGCACATGCGTCGCGCAAAGCTGTTTTGCCCGACTCATGTAGCCCTGCGTCACGCAAAGTCAATAGAAAACCTTACTTGATTTAGCGCCAAAATCTTGCGGGACACAAAAAACGTCGCGCAAATGGCCTTTGCGCGACTGCACTTTGCGCGACGAAGATTGGCGTCGCGCAATCCCGTTTTGCGCGACGTAGGTGCCCTTACGTCGCGCAAAGTATGTTTGCGCGACGCCAATCTTCGTCGCGCAAAGGCCATTTGCGCGACGTTTTTTGTTTAGCGTCACGCAAACATACTTTGCGCGACGCATTTAGCTGCGTCGCGCAAAGTGCAGTCGCGCAAACATGTTTTTGTACTAGTGTCCTTTGTCTGAATATCCTAAAGCAAGCAAAATGAAGGCAAAATGAAGGATACAGTACTACAATACAATCCAATTGTTCAGTGACGTGAGGTACAGACAATAAGTGATGAGAAAATGATGGAACCAATAAACAATTATGTAACGGAATAGAGAGTGTAAGCGACACTGTTCCCGCTCCAACAACAGCAGCAGTAGTACCATTGGCAGTTGCCACACACTTTCTATGAGAAACTTTCATGGACTGAAACAAAGTTCTATCATACATCATATGATCCGTTGCACCAGAATCTAAAATCCAACTGTATTTGCCATTTAATAATACGCAAAATGACAATCACAAGTACACGGCAATCACAGCACCCTACCAATTACGGAACCACAAGCTGCAAGAACGAACAAGTAGCAGCCACTCACGACAACCACCCACGGTAGAATAGACGATTTTTTTCCTGCAGAGGAAATCGCAGCAAACACACGGCTGCACAGTTTGAAATACTTACGGTAGTAGTAGAAAAAATACTTCAAGTCTGTTGCTCTTACACGGGCATATATCACAGCAATTGCGAGCCGCAATTACAAGCAGCAACAATTGTTAAAACACACACGGCACAATTGCAAAGCACCACAACATTTGTAAAGCACACACGTCACAATTGCAAAGCAGCAACAATTGTGAAACACACACGACACAATTGCAAATCGACACAACAATTGTACGCGATGCACGAACCCTAGCTCTTTATGCCAAATAGAAATTTACGGCTTAATTTCTCTATATTCTACAATTCTGAATAAAAGGTACATACAATCCTTGTTACAAAAGAAAACAAAATAAAGAACACAATATTCTTCCTAAAACATGACTTTAATAATTATAAAAATATTTACATTCTTTTTTTTCTTAAATATTGACTTATTCCAATGTATAAAACAGGAAAGCAGAAGGATCAAACAAAACCAGGTAGGGTTTGAAATCATGGAAATGACAAAAACTCCCGTCGCAGGCAAACACATGCCATAAAGGTTTCTGCTTTCCACAATTCCCTTTCTATTTGCAACTTTTCTCTATTTTTATAATTTGAGTATCAGATCCATTTTTTTTTTCAATTGATGACAACAACTATCTAGTACCAAACATAACTAATATGTATTTAAAAGAGAAAAGACATAACTAATATGTATCTTCTTTTTAATAACTGCGAAATATTCGAATTTAAGACATGTTTCAATAGTATATATGATCAACAAAATATCACTACGTTAAGTACTACCTTGTTGTTTACGTAACACATATCATATATGTTAGTAATGTGATTTAACACTGCTAGAAGATCTTATAGTCAACACAAGAGTAAGTGGTAGAGATTTTGATAATTACATATAAATTTAGGTCGGCCATGACTATTTGGCGGCCTTATTTAAGGCAAAACCAAAATGAATTCCTTGTAATCGGGTCAAGATCCTCTTCAAATCTCCCTCTACGTAGATATACTCATATACATAATGGCGTAACTACACCATAGAGATGGCAATTCAAACAGTTAAACCCAATAATTGTGGATAACTACTCGGATGAAACGGATTTGTAGATGAAAATGCGGTTATATTTCGGATATGGAGAAAAACTAGAAATATTATTCGGTTATTGTTTCAAATTTGGTTATAGGGTCCTGATTCGTATCCGTCA